GAAAGCAGGGCTCTGGGCTGCTGCTGCATTCTGGTGGATGATCCTGAAAGGCGGTCCATCATTCATCATCATGAATGTTTGAATTTCTGCGACTTGCGCGGGGGTTCCTCCATCTCCTGACAAATAGAGTACAGGACTGAATCTGTTGGTGCTCCTGTCCTAACGTCAATTACCAGCCCGGAGGAACAGTACATTTGGCGTGTAACACGCGATTGAAGCTGAAGTAATTGAAAACCGTAAGCGAAACAAATACTGTAGTAGTGTATACCGTAACATAATTTTGATCACTTTTCGTCAACTCTCTTGAAGCTAGGATATTTCTGAAATTTGTCTCTGGCTCAGTTCCATGATTTGATTTAATGATTATGGACAAGTCATCGCAGGATTTTACAGAATTGATCCCTGAACATCAAATTACCTGCGTGTCGGAATTGTCTCCCTGTTGTATACAGTCAACCCCTGTCTAATGGACTTGATTCGTGCAAGGGACAAGTCTGTTAGACTAAAAGTCCTTTACATGAATTCAATTACATAAAAATTGAAAATTTCAATTTTCAACACTAATTTTAAACCAAAAAAAGTCTGTTTGGTGGATTTTGTCTGTTGGGCAGGAGGAAAAACTGCTTGCAGAGCTGGTCTGTTTGGCAAAAATCCCTTACACAGGAGGTCTGTTAGGCAGGGGGCCACTGTATATGCTACAGATTTACAAGTGATTGATTGATGTTTCTATGCTGGTTTATTGCCACAGGAGGCCTGCATGATGAAAATCATTCTTCTCACTTGCTGATAAATACGGAGATCTGCAAGTTTTTATTATTTTTTTAAAGCTTCCTTGATGAAGTTACTGTACTTGAAGAAATTATGTTTTCTTGGTGTGTTTCCCTGGGCTGAATCCTCAAACTCCCTTCCACCAAGCACCGTCTATACAAGTGATACCTTGTAATTTGACCCTAATCCATCGCCAAACCAGGGTCAAATTGCACAACACCCCATGAAATTTGAATATAAGTAAAAAAAATGCAAAAAAGTGGCAAAATCAGGTCAAATTGCGGGGGGGCAAGGGTAAAATTGCAAGTCATCCTCCCTGCAAATTTGCCCATGGAGCGGGGGGAGGTCAAGTTACCAGGTACCAACTGGATGGACAAGAGATGTAGACAGGGATTGTCAAACTGGCACTCTGAAGAAACAAGATACTCCTTTGGAAATCAGGTGTTTGGGGCTACTTTTTTTGTTGTTGTTGTCGTTGAAAAAGAGACCTGCAAGTTGGGGGAGACCCAGAAAAGGGTCCGTCCAAGTCTCCAGCCAGGTTTGCCCTTCATCCCGCATTCGGTCCCTCTGCGGCCCATGGGGGGGAAGGGAAATGTTGTTGGCGCGCGCGGGCAGAGGGTTCCTCAGTCAGCATTGTCGCAGCGGCGCGATCAGTGCACGCATGGGCCTCGTGAATCGACGCCCTTCACTCAAGTGAACTTGCTTCTATACTAAGTGGGCTTTCTTGTCTGCCTTACATGCAGTGTCAGTGCATCTGTCGGCGGCTTGGAATGACCTTTTCCCCTCTTGCTTCTGTTTTACTCCGAATAAATTCATTTTTGTATACGTGTTCATTACAATTGTTGGCTCCGGGGATTTTGAACAGCAATTTTTGGTAAGAGAGAGAGAAAATGTATAGACCACCAAGTAATGTGTGAAAATTGAGGCCCTTTTTGCAGGAGACGCTATTTCTGCTGTAATTTCCTCGAAAGATTCATTTCCATGGATTCTGAAAACACTCGAAGAATATATAAAAAATATGTAAATTCTCTATGATTTATTTAAATGATCATCAAGAGGGTGCACAGCCATTAAGAGAAGAGTTTTTGAAACAACCAGACGTTTTTTAAAGCAAATTTGCCCGCCATTAACTTACTTTCTACTCTTGAGCTTATTATTTGTTGTAAAAAAAAAAGAGTCGTGAGCTGGGGTAATGTGTATTGATTCTAGAAATGCGTTTAGAGAGGAACTTTGCCTCAGAAACGGAGCATAGAAAGCCCTGGAACGACAAAATAAACTCTTTCTCTACATATTATTACCTTGCTCAGCACTTGCTCCACATGTCTTTTTAAGGAGCTCAACAGCTGCTGAGAAGAGATACAAGGCATGCAATTAAATGGAAATGAATCAAAATATGAGATAGAGAGTCCTTATATCGAAACGCAGGAAACTTGGAGAGTGTGGTTACATGTGAAACAACCGCAACGCCTTTGAATCAAGGTACAAAGCAGTTTAATCCTCATTGCCAAACCTGTTTTATCAATATATTGATGGTCCATTTTAAAAATTAATTGCAAGTTCTCCAACGCTTCCAGTTTTTAAGCGGGAATTGAAATCCAGACAACTGTTCAAAAAAGCGATAATCTGGACCTGTTTCCATATACCACGGAGGGCATTTTCGAATCTTGACTGTTGGTTGAAGAATCCCGGATATTTTCCCTTGTTTACAAAGTCTCTCACTCTTTAGGAGTCCCATATAGTGAAGTTGTAGTGTACCCACCCTATTTAAAAAAAAACCATCATCTCTGGTTCTCTTTTTGTTTTTTTGTTGAGCCACTTGGGAGCCTTGAAGAAGAGGCCTCTATGAGACTGTGATGCAAGTTTTCAATCTTCAAGAGTTTTGAATGGCATTGATTCATTGGCTTGGATACTGGGGTTGTGAGCACGATGCTGCACTGCATTTCCAATGTGGCTACTGTTTTTGTAACACTACGGTATTTGTCACCTGGAGAGAGCTTGATCTTCTTGTCCGTGTACAGCGTATTGCAGCATCTTGAACTTGTTTTTTTTCTTCTATATTAAACCAGTCCATCCTTAGAAGACGAGAAACAAATTGCTTTTTGTGTCGGGCACACAACTGTCATGCAGTCGCAACAGGCACACTTACCAGGGCCTTGGAGCCCGCGCAGTACTGAATGTTTAAACATTGTCAGAGTAAACAGGATTCCTGTTTTTTTTCCCCGTGTGATGGGCAAGAGTAGGTGAGGTCACGCAGCCGGCTTTGACATTGCGGCGGACGAGAGACTTTTCAACTGCTGGTATATTTCAAGATACGTTTCGCCAAAATCCTGTCTTGTGCATTCCTCGCGCTGAGGTTTTTTGCCCCCATCAGTGGTACCCGGGCATCTTTCAGATTCTCTCAGCTTGGAATTAAGTGAGACCCCAAGATGCGGACGTAATTGGTGCGTCAAGAGTGTCCCTAAGTCGAGTCTCATTTTCCTTTAGACTTACATTATACAGATTTTAATTGGTGTTTTATTTACAAAATACTTACCATAATTCCATGAACATAAAAATTTTCTCTTAATTTAAACTGATTCCAATCAATGTATTTCAACACATAATTTGGACATTTGGGGAATTTAATTCTGATACCTCTGTAGAGTACACAGACAAGTTTGAATTCTCTGTAAAAAAAAAACATTCAATTGAAAAAGAGAGAAGGAAGTCCCTCTCTGGGAGGTAATTTTTTTAAATTAGCTGAATGGATGGTAAATTGGTGAGAGAAATGCCCAATAACTTTCCTTAGATCAATTTTAGGGTTGGAAATATCTGTTTCTTGTAATTTGGCCTGAAATGTTTCTGCATTTTTATCACAAAATGTCCCTATGTTGAGTCAGTGTCCTCATNAATTTGGCCTGAAATGTTTCTGCATTTTTATCACAAAATGTCCCTATGTTGAGTCAGTGTCCTCATGTTGGGCCTTTTCTATGCATTTTTTTATTAGAAAATAAGTGTCCCTATGTTGCATTGTCTGCAGGTCGCGGTGTCCGCATGTGGGGGTCGCACTGTATTTTGGAAACGATAAACTGTAACAGAATTGAGATACTCGTAATGCTGATTGCACGTGCGGACTGTGTATTGCATGAAAAATATGACTGAAGAAAACTTCGTGGAGTTGAGTTGAGCGTGGAACTCGACCGACTGTAAGTTTAAAATTGAGTATAAATTCCTGTGAAAATCTTGCAGCATCAGAAACAAATAAATGCAAGGGGCAAGACCTTTTTCTGTGCTGCTTTCAACAATTTATTTTTTTGAAAAATTTGATTCTACTGTAATAGTCTTGCTTAGAGTGTACGTACTATGTGCATGACGCACGATGATGAACAACGCAAATGAGCAGAGACATAGAGGTAAAACTATCTTTTCTTTCCTGATAAGCCATGCGGGATGAAATCGAGCTCCTCTGGTCGAACGAGGTCATGCTTCCAGCCTGCAAGCATGGATGCTCTTGGCGAACTTTAAACTCTGATGGACGCTGTGCTGCAGGAGAACAGCCCAGAGAGGATGTCAGTCTCCTGCAGAGCAGGCCTACAGAGTGCTTGTCAGTAGCCTGCCAAGTTGCAGCCCTTGCTTGCATGTCTGGAGACCATTTTCATCCTTGTTTTTCTTTGTGTACCAGAAATCTTATCTGGTCACTCACTTCGTGAACCAGCACTGAAAACTCCAGGTCGATTTTTTGTGAGGCTCAAATGAGTGTCGATAGTTCGTGTTCAAGATTGATTTTCAAAATCTGCCCCGCATCCAGAATTATGGGTGAATGTGCACATTGGTGACGAATAAGTAGAATTTGCCGCGCATTCTCGGCTTTCTTTTCCTCGATGTGCAAAAAGGGTAAATTTTATGCATCAATCGTCACGTCGTCAGACAGAGGTGAATCTTGAAGAAAATTTTTCATTACACAGGATGGCTGCAAATGGAAGGATAGCCTCGTTCTGACCTACTATTCCTCGCCCGAAAAAAAAAGTAGAATTAAGGACTATACTGTTTGGCATTCTAAATAATGGTCAAAGTAGATGTAGCAAATTGTTTTTCTCTCGTAACCATCAAGGATCAGTTTTCTAGTTATCTGCTGAGTTTTTGTACTACTAGAGTTCGTGGGCCTTTTTGAATTTTGTGTGTGGCTTATGGCAGCATGAATCCTGACTTGAGGATGACTGCGCTGGCACATTCAACTGACATAAATTGTTTCCAGGGCTGCCATGACGATGTGTCTGGTAGCATCCTTTCCGCGCAGCATGGTGACGAATTTTAAAGAGTGCGGCAGTGTTTTGGCTACTCAAACTCAGTGTTGATGATGGTGGAGCCACAGCACCAACGGTTCCTGCCGCTGGTCATTGTGGTACTGACTGTGTTGACTGCCCGGGGTTCCTGCCGGGCCAATGGCACCAGCAGTGGCACCATGGCATTGCACCGCTACAAGCCGCGTTTCAGTGTTCAACAGCTCCTCACTTCCGACTTCCCGCACCGCATCTCCAGAGACCTTTTCTCTGACCCATGCAAAGGATGTGAGTAGATTTTTTTTTTTTTTTTTGCTCGGTGGAGGGAACCTAATTTTTTTTTCCATCGAATGAGTTTGTGTTGTACGAGGTTGTTCCTTGTACGGATTTTCTGAGCAATTATGTGGGGGTTGGACGAATGCTCAGAATAAATCAAGAATAATGAAATTGTCAGTAAAAATCCTTCAACAGGGGGTCTGCCGTCAACCCCCTTCCTATTGTATGAAATGTTTGTTGTACTGTATCGGACACTTGTTCAATGAGGAACCACTTTACAGTACTCTGGGTGGCTGGGGGAGTATTCAGTCAGTAATCTGTGGACCTGTTCATGCCTGCTTCAAGGAATGAAAAAAAAAAACACACATTGTAATCCAATTCAATGCGGCGAAAAGAGAGATTTCCAAGTCTGTAGCTGAAGCTAAAAAGCCTTGCTGACCCAAATACCCGACTTTCTTGGAGCAATATCGACTACTTCAAAGACTGTCGGTCTTGTGCAAACCTTGTTATTTGAAAGAGACTTCAATTGAATAAATAAAAAAAAATACAAGGTGCAGTGTCGGAAATCAGGGCTTTCTATTCCCCCAAACGTTATTTCGTCTTCCTCTCAAATTCCATCCTAAAGTTGTCCGCAATGATGGCATGATTTTTCCATTCGATTTCAGTACTTCTCGTGTCTTTCTAATCCCCTTTGAGAGGAGAATGTTCCCTGCGGACTTGAGTACCGGCCCGTGGGGACCAGGAGTAGAATAATACTGGTCTGTACTGAGGGTATAATCAACTCACCCGTGTTGTCAGGCGCGCTCTTTTGAAAACAACAACTGAAGCCGATACCCTTGTAAACATGGTACTGTACTATAAACGTGACACTTGAATAAATATTGAAATTGGAAGAGGCAGTTCCATTTGAACCCGCTCAATGGGTCCCAATTTTTTTTTTAAACTTCTCGTCTGTAAACAAAGTTATTTCAAATTCCTCTTTACGCGCGCGATCGTGGTTATAACAAAAAACAAAATCTTGCAAGTTCGTTTTCCCTGTACAAAGACGTTCGTAGGTTGACGTGCTTTAATGCGAGGCTGAATGATAGAAATGGAATGTTCCCGCAAGAGAGGGAATGTGGGGACGCCAGAACCTGTCAGTTAGGACTTTCTTTTTAAAAGGAGCGGGCGCTCTCCTTTGTGACGGGTTCGGTCAAACCCTTTTTTTTCTGGTATCGGGGGGGGCTTTGGTTTTTCTGGACACAAAGGAGGTGCGAGCGATGATCGAAAAGGAAAAAAGAGAGAGGACGGAGAAAGACCTGGTACGAGTTTGTGTTCGCCATTAATCGATTTCCGCGTACTGAATGCAACTTTAATGCACTGAGAGTGCGTGTGGTAAGACTGGTGTTCATGGTAAAATGTGGGTCGTTGAGGAGAGGAGAGGAAATTAACTGAGATGAGGCGAGGGTCAAAGACTGCGAGAGCGATACGTCATATATGACAGGATATAGGGTCTAACCTCTCTATAAGTCGAACTTCAAGGGACCAGCAAGAAATTCGAGTTGGGGAAACGAGCATTTTTGTTGGACGGAATGAAAGAAGAATTACAGGAAATTATAATTTGAGAGATTCTGGGCCTTGAATTGCTTTCCAACGGAGTTGGCAGGATGATGAACTTGACAAGGGTTCATTTGCCCAAATTGTCTTTTACTTCCTTTCAAAATGAATCGCATTACATATTTTCTTTTTCTGGGTAAATAATGTGCAGTTGAACCTGGATAACTCGGACCTCCCCAAGTCGAACTTTTTTTCTTTTCTTTCAAAATCCCCGTTTGAATGGCCTTTGAAACAATACGTTTAACACGTGTCAAATGCTTTTCCTCTTAAACCGCCCTAATTAAAACGTTCTGAGGCCTTTTTGGCTATTATTTTCTTGACACAGGAAAAGAGAAAATCTATTAAACGTATCTTGATTTGTTTTGAAAGGAAATGAAAGATTAATTAGGTTAATCAACCCTTGCCTCCGAGTTCAGCATCCTGTCAAGTCTTTTAAGAAGTAATTCAAGGTCCAGGATACAACTTCTAATGATTCTGCTATTTTCCCCCACCACGAAAATATTTGTTTTCTTCAAGGCGATTTTTTTTTCTTTTGCTGGTCTCTTGAAATTCAACTTGGCAACTTTTAACTGTAATAGTATGCTATAGAGAATTTGAGTTGTGGAGGTTTAAGGGGAAGCCTTTCGAGTTTGTGAGGTTTTGAATGCATTGTTTCTAAGGGACTCATCAGACAGCAGCAGGGACTCGAAAAAAAAAAATGCTTCCACATGGGGAGTTCGGAGTTCTCCAGATTCAACTACAGTCAAACCCCGTTAAGACGCCCCCCAATGAAGCACCACCCTCAGCAACCGCCAACATTTCAAATGAAACAAATCTCCTCTATGTTAAATTCTATAGAAAACCTCGATAAGACGCCAACCGCCGTCCGCCAGCATTAGTGATGAAACAAAAGTGCTGTTTCCAATTAGTGTTGTCTTTGTTACAATGCCAACATCGGGGTAGAATTATAATTTCTGCCAAGGATCTTGTATTTGTAAGGAAAATAATAATAATGATCATAGCTGTTTCCAATTAGTTTTGTCTTTGTTACAATGCCAACATCGGGGTAGAATTATAATTTCTGCCAAGGATCTTGTATTTGTAAGGAAAATAATAATAATGATCATTTTGTTGAAAATTATATTGACCTAATCTTAAAATTTGAATAAATTGATGCAGCAATATTTATTTTCGGAAAGAGTAATCCATTAATCACGGCAATACTTTTTGGAAAATTATACTGAAGTTTCTTACATAACCTGTATCTCTATGACTTTTGGAGGAAAATTGAGTATTTTTAATCAAATAATTAAAATTAAATATTTGATAAACCGCCAACCTCTTTAAACCGCCAAAATTTGCTCTGGACAGATGATGGCGTCTTATTATTGGGGTTTGACTGTATATGACCCTTCTTCCGTCAGACAGGAGTGGGACACACGAGGTTGCAGTGACTGTGTGGCAGCAGTTGCTGCTAATAGTAGCCCCTTTAGTGTCTCGGGGTTATTTGATGGATGCCGGGCCGTCGAGTGATGGGATCTCTCGTCGGTCGCGAGGCCGGGGTGTGATGAAACAAACGGGACACGCCGTTGTCGACTGGGCATCCCGGTCACCTCGGTTGACGAGATCCTTGCTTGCGGTCCTCGTCAACCGTGTCATTAAGAGCCCGGACTGACACCGGCATCTGTTCCTGCTTTTTGCTGTGCCGGTCCTCTTTTTTTCCCCCCCTCTGTGTCCCTCTGTTTTTGGGTGGCGAAACTCGTAATTGGAACCATGGGCTCCGGGATCGGGAAGCACTGTCTCCGAGTCGACGCGCTCTGCCCTCATCCCCATCACTGAAACACTGTCGCATCCACACCTCGGGTATCAACGCGATTATTTCCTCTCTTCGTTATTACTGCGGGTTAACTCGGGCATCGCGAGTCGACGCATCAGCAAATCCCCTTTGCAAAGAGAAAAATAACCCGGGTTGAACTGGATAAGTATAGAATAGGGCCAATACAATGCAAACAAACACCTAGAAAAAACGCGGATGAGAAAGACAATGCAAGCTCAGAACAGCGGCCGAATGTGATGCTTGAAAAATGGAATAACAGGTCATCTGATTCGCAGTGTGGTGTTTTTTTTTTAAACTAAAATTTAGTTATTCAAGCTGGCCTAACGGGAAGTGCAGATTCTATACAGCCCTGTTTTGCAGAAGGGGCTGCTGCGCAACAGACAGGACCGTATTGTATCCAAAAGCAAGTTTTTGGCTGATGATTTTCCGCGCGCGCGCTGTTCTGGGACCCGCTCAATTGTGACTTGCTTCCTTCACCCTATAGATTTTTTACTGCAAGATTTATTTTTAATTTTTTTTTTTTTCACGGCGGAGATGGGTGTCGGAACGAAGTACATTAGAGTACTTGGTGTTGACAGGGTCGAATGCCGTGCAGCCAGCAGGGAAAGGCAAAGTCGACCTTGATGGCCCGTTTCCATCCAGGCCACGTGTCGCAGTGCCCCCGCAGCATGGGCGTGTTGATGTCCCATGCGATGCTGCGGATGCGGTCATTGGGAATAATGCCATCGCATGTCCAGAATCCACCTTGAAATCTGCTCCCGCCCATCCACCCCTTTATTGCGTGGTTTCCATGCCCATTTCCCTGTTCTTTATGCTGTACACAGTAAAACCTATTTGATAGAAACTCCCAGGGACTAAAGGAAAATTCGTGGTATAAAGAAAAATGTGCTGTGTCGAGATTCATGGTTCTTTTTTCTTCTTTTTATTCTTTACATATTACACTAGATTTTTTGGGGGAAATGAGTAACATATACCCTTTCGGGAAATACCCATTGGATAATTATTACCAGCCCATTACTTATTTACAAAAAAAAAGCATACATCCTGAAATGGGGCTAAGCAATGTCCAAGAAATATGTCATGTTTAATTTTGAACGCTGAACTTTCTCTGCAGACATTTTTGCTTCCTTGGTGATGCTGGAACTCTGTGCCAGTTCAAATTTTCTGCCATTTATCAAATAATCCCAATGGCCTATATGCACGGAATCAGGCCGCACTTTTGTTAGATTGAGATCACAACCTAAAATTTGTTTGTTAAGATGAGATTTCATAAAATTGAACAATGGAGAAACTGCTGGGACCAAGACAAATGTCTTCATAATGAAACATGAGACCCCAAAATGCGACCTAGGAGTTATATTATTTTATTGTATCCAAGAAATATGTTATGAATGAAATACTGTATGTCATTTTTAGAAAGATTATTTTATTCTTTGGAGGAATTTTACTTGAATATTCAAGAAACGGAGAACCAATTAAAAATGTTTACATTGAAGTCCACGGGAAAATGAGTTCCGACATGCGGACGAGGAACATGCACCAGTTACGTCCGCATCTTGAAGTCCCACTGTATTCGGACGAGATTCGTTGTAATGGATTTCTTCCACTGTGTACTGCACTGCGCAGTATTCGTATATATTTTTATCTGCCGTTTTCCTTTTTTTTCTTTTAAATCCGCGAAGGAGGCTGATCAAGCTGATCATTTCATGAATATACCGAAGCTTGGATCGTTGAGGGACGTTTCAAGGTTTTCTTGTCAGGCTCGGAGAGATCAGCGTAATCGAAAATGCAGATTTTTCTGCCTTGCGCCGGTCCGACGAGGAAAGTAAACCGAGCAGATGCGCGTATTTTACCAGGAGGCAAGAGGAGATTGTGCTGCTTCCACCGGCCGACTGAAATCAGCTCGCGAGAGGAAACATGCAAACGTGCGGTATTATAATAATATTCAAACGCCGCCGGGATGTGTACATGAGTCTGTGTGTGTGTGTGTGGCAAATTGCTGAGCAAGTTAATGACCAGCGAAAAGGGAGGAAGCGAATGCGTGGGAAAACTCGGACCGCTGACCACTGCCACCCTACACACACACACACACACACAAACGCATATACACATAATTTCCCTGCCGCAGTAATGCCGAGGATTTTCCCTGGCAAAAAAACGGGAGTTCGCGGCCGTGAATGAGTTGCAAGGAGAACCCGGACAAGGGGGATAGAGAAAAACTGATTGTCGAGGCTGTGCGATTCGACCCGCAACAAATTTCCTTTTTTTTTCCAGCAGGGAATTGCCCTGCGTTTACGTGCGAGGGGCGTTTTCGAAAGTTTCGTGAGTTGCATGAGGGTAATGGGATTTGCCTCATGCAACTGTCGGGTCATATTTGCCGTGCGCGAAACCTTTTGGGATCCAGTCAGCAAAAGACGAAGAAAATCAAAGAAACAAACACACACACACACGTTTTCTGGAAGGTGGTTGGGGAGCGGCATATGCGTTAGTTTCTCACACCTGGGTGGTCTGGAAAGCTCATATACAAAGTGAATTTGCAGTAGGTACGCCAGACTGGAATTACCAAAAAGGACAGTAAACTATAGATAAGCTGAGGGGGAGTTTCAGAGAATACAGGAGTTTCAATTAAACTCGGTAGATCCTTGCCGGAACGTGGGATTCCTCGGTAAGTTTTCCCATGAGACATTATATTCGCGGCTCTCTCTCTCTCTTCAATGATGAGTTAACATTCAGGAATAAAGGGTTAGAGGAACGAAGGGATTCTGTTTTCCATGTGCTAATAATACGGACTTGAAGTATGTCGTGGGTGACTCCAAATCGTCCTCCAGTTTCTGCTTGCCTCCTGAAGAGGATCTACTTTTGAGAAATCCCCTCGTGCGTGTGCAGTCGTTTGGTTCCGGGGCCTGCTGGCTCCAGTGTTGCCATGGCCTCGTTGGCGTACAACCCAAATTCGACTCTTGATTCCCCACACAGCGTTTATTGCGGAATCGCTGCACAAGATCCCTGTCGCCTTCACTGCTCTGTATGTGCCAAAGCCCAGCTGCGCCATTTGTCCGGCTGACGGCAAATTTCCTCGGCCGAGACCGCAGCTGAAAAATCCCTTCCGAATCTATCAAAAGTTCGGAAAGTTCCGAAAAACATTCTTGGTTAAATAATTCGTGAAATCTCGACAGAATAAACTCACGGCCCATAATTAGTTTTTCATGGTTGCATTAATTTTTTCCCCTCTCGACTGGGAAATGTCCTTGACAGTTTTCCATCATCAAGAGTATCTTCCACTGAATCGTGGGAACAGACGCTGATACTCCAGGCCGTAATTTGATGAACCATCTGCTAAAATGTGATCGTATCTCCAATTTGTTTGCACGAATTAAGATACTCCGAGGAGATATTAAACGAGTGTTCGTTCAGATCTTGCTGGACAGTTTTAGCCCACTGATTTTAGGAGGAATTTCGGATTTTTGAAGTGCGGCGATTAAAGTACTGTACTGTACTAGTACAAAACTGTTCATGCGGAAAAACGACGAATACTTCACAACAGAATTATCCTCTGAGAAAAAGGAAAAAATGGAGTGGTTGCGGTGAAACCTTTGCAGAGCTCCGACTCCTTCAGAGAGAACTTGCTCTGAAGACATTACAAAAAGAAATTTGATCATGTGAGGGAACTTTGCGAGAAACGTTTTCAGATCATATATCAAATTTTCCTGATTTCTCCGTTCTATTTGCTATCGTCATACTTGAGGAAATGAAACTTATCCTTATAATGTGGATAATTTTCGTGCTTCAATGAGATGCATTGAGGCCCCGAAATACGGACATTCTGACCTCAAACCTTCCCCGACATCCGAACAATGTCTCAAGAAATAGACAGTTTTACATCATTTCCAGAAAAAACTACGTGTTTCCAAAATTTGGACATCTCTTGAACAAATTGAGCCTGTGTTATACAGTATTAAAAAAATCAAAAATAAATTCCATTATAAATCTACTCAAATCCATCATAAAAAACAGGTGAATTTTGTACTTTGTTTTCTCCATCTTGTGTGCACAGTGTAGCACCATTTTTTTTTGCTTCTTGAGATCCTTTTGATGCCAGAAGACCAGATTCTGTGGGGTATTTTTCTGCACAATTATTTTCTGCATCTTTTGAGTTCATACTAAATTTTGGGGGACTTATTCCTAATCTATGATGAACTGGAGAAATAGTTAAATTGAAGTTCTCATTGAAGTCTTTATAAAAACGTGATGCGACATGCGGACGTGTATATACAGAATACTACTGTACAGTATTTGAATGAGCGCGGCATTTCCCTCATAAAGTGACATTTTTCTGGCAAATTGTAGGGGGAATTAATGATGAAACCCACCTCCAGTATCTTTGCTTTTATTTTGCGTGTAAAACCTAGGAGGAAATTTAAGTCGACATTGGCGTGGAAACGGGAAAATCACGAAGAGCAAACACGTCCGTCCCATTAGAACGGATCCTCGATCAACGTTGTTTATTGTTCACGAGTCGCAATCAAAGCGTTGACCTGTGACCCACTGCTAGTACAGTACAGTACAGTACAGTATATTACAGTGGATGCCGGAAAGGCGGCATTTTGACGAGGGAACCGAGAACGCCAGGAACTCTGGCAATTCCCGACTTTCAAGTGTCTCATATACAGGATGACTAGAGCGGAGTACTGTACTGTACTGTATTGTATTGTATTGCACAGTGAAAGAGAAAAAAAAATGGGGTCTTGTGCAAGGCGTTTCTGTGTTTTCGGCGTGCAAATACACGATCCGAGTCTTTGAATGCGCGTCCTGACGAATGCCGAAGATTAGCCGTGGCACTG